TCAGCCTCAGCCTCAGCCTGCCTCAGCATCAGCCTGCCTCAGCCTCAGCCTCAGCCTGCCTCAGCCTCAGCCTCAGCCTGCTTCAGCCTCAGCCTCAGTCTGCCTTCAGCCTCGGCCTCAGCCTCAGCCTGCCTCAGCCTCAGCCTGCCTCAGCCTCAGCATCAGCCTGCCTCAGCATTCAAAATGTGGCCCGGGAATGGAGTTCTGGGAACTCGAAGAACACGAAGTGGCCTACAGTTGGCTCCGGGCATTCAAAATCATGCCCAGGAATGGAGTTCTGGGAACTCGAAGACCACGAAGTGGCCTACAGTTGGCTCCGGGCATCCAAAATGTGGCCCGGGAATGGAGTTCTGGGAACTCGAAGACACGAAGTGGCCTACAGTTGGCTCCGGGCATCCAAAATGTGGCCCGGGAATGGAGTTCTGGGAACTCGAAGACCACGAAGTGGCCTACAGTTGGCTCCGGGCATCCAAAATGTACGCCGGGAATGGAGTTCTAGCAGCGCCAAGAGCGATTTTGCGAGGATGTCCCAGGCGATTTGGGCTTCGGCGGCAGCCGCCCCGGGTCCCGCCCCGACCCCCCTGAGGAGTCATGATCTGCTATGCTCTCTTCGCCCTTGCAAAGGGTAGCCCAGGCTGACCTTCGGCTCCGAAAAAGATTATCCCGGCAAAGCAACCTAACAGCGATGTGTAGGAGCATATCTGGAAGCATTCCCCTTAAGATTCAGATGAGAATCCAGTTGTAGAATTGTGCTGTTCTCGCAGTCGTAGTCGCATTCGCGATGACAGTCGCAGTGGCAACGGCAGTCACAGACACAGCCTCAGCCTCAGCCTGCCTCAGCCTCAGCCTCAGCCTGCCTCAGCCTCAGCCTGCCTCAGCCTCAGCCTCAGCCTGCTTCAGCCTCAGCCTCAGTCTGCCTTCAGCCTCGGCCTCAGCCTCAGCCTGCCTCAGCCTCAGCCTGCATCAGCCTCAGCCTCAGCCTCAGCCTGCCTCAGCATCAGCCTCAGCCTCAGCCTCAGCCTCAGCATCAGCCTGCCTCAGCATTCAAAATGTGGCCCGGGAATGGAGTTCTGGGAACTCGAAGAACACGAAGTGGCCTACAGTTGGCTCCGGGCATTCAAAATCATGCCCAGGAATGGAGTTCTGGGAACTCGAAGACCACGAAGTGGCCTACAGTTGGCTCCGGGCATCCAAAATGTGGCCCGGGAATGGAGTTCTGGGAACTCGAAGACCACGAAGTGGCCTACAGTTGGCTCCGGGCATCCAAAATGTGGCCCGGGAATGGAGTTCTGGGAACTCGAAGACCACGAAGTGGCCTACAGTTGGCTCCGGGCATTCAAAATGTGGCCGGGAATGGAGTTCTGGGAACTCGAAGACCACGAAGTGGCCTACAGTTGGCTCCGGGCATCCAAAATGTATGCCGGGAATGGAGTTCTAGCAGCGCCAAGAGCGATTTTGCGAGGATGTCCCAGGCGATTTGGGCTTCGGCGGCAGCCGCCCCGGGTCCCGCCCCGACCCCCCTGAGGAGTCATGATGCTCTCTTTTGACACCACTAGAAACCTATCAGTCTTCGCTGTTAGGTAAAAGAAGGGGGAGGTAGCTTCCGACGCCCCCCCCCGTCGCCCTTGCAAAGGGTAGCCCAGGCTGACCTTCGGCTCCGAAAAAGAGGAGGGAACGGGGCAGCTTGGAAGCTCCTCCATTTGCAGCGCACCCCCCTCTGTCGCACAGCAAGGGGAGGGAGGGGGTAGCTTTGGAAGCCCCCCCAACCCCTGGAAAGAGGAGCCCCGGCTCACCCCGGACCCCGAAAAAAACGGGTAGGGGGTAGCTTCCGAACCCTCCCCCCTCTCACCCGGGATGGGGGAAGCAGCTTCGGAAGCCCCCCCGCCCCATCTGGAGAGGGGAGCCCAGGCGTACCCCGCGCCCCGACAAGGGAAGGAGGCGGGAGGTAGCCTCAGCGGGCCGCATGCGAACCATACCCCTACCCCCCACGATTTCTGAGGAAAAGAGTGGAGTTCACTACGCTCGGGAGCTCCCGAGCGAAGTGAACCCCACCCTCCCCCTCCTCAGAAATCGCGGGGGGTAGGGGTAGGGTTCGCATGTGGCCCCCTTAAGCCTCCAAGCCCCCTCCCCCCCATTCAGCTGAGCCCCCCCCCCCGGCTACAGGATGCCAGCCCAGGGGAGGGAGGGGGAGGCAGCCTCGGAGGCCCCCCCGCCTTTTCCCCACGGGAGCAGGGAGGGGGGCAGCCTCTGAAGCTGGGGCCTCCCTCGCATTCCCGGGCCTGCGTGCGCGCTCGCGCACAGAAGGGGAGGGAGAAAGAGAGAGAGAAGAAAACAGAGAGACAGAGAGGGGGCGAGATAGAGAGAGAGAGAGAGTGCGAGAGAGAGGGAGGGGGGGGGAAAAACAAAAAAAAAAAAAAAAACGAGAGAAAGAAAGAGAGAGAGAGAGAGAGGAAACAACAAAAACAAAAAACAAAAAATGGAAAGAGCGCGGCGAGGAACACAACTAAGGAATTGAGTACTTGCATGCATAAACGGTACAAATAACCAGCCAGAAGCAAAACCCAGATCTGCAATGCAAGCAAAGGCAAACCAAGCAAAGGAACTCAATGCAACGCAATCTGCTCCCACGTTAACGCTGAATGGCGCGATGAGTGCTGTTAAAGACCACGATGCCATAAGATGCGACGGACTGTTACGTGTTTGTTTGGTGTTGCGCGTGTCATTCCCATCATGTTTCGATCGCTTGCATCTTGCACCAAGCAGAGGTGACCCTCACTGCGGCCGCGCAGAGATCGCCACAGCACTCTCAGGCAACGTGGGTTCCGACAGCGAAGCGGGCCTGCGTGTGACAGAACAGCCGAAGGATTGGTCGCATGTGTGTTTCAACCGTTGCTCGGTCCTTGTTGGCCTGTCTTGATTGGTTTGGTGTTCCTGGTTCCTGTACCTGCTGGCGGTTTCCTGGATTGCGGCCCCTCCTTGCGACGCTCCGCTCCCTGTGTATGCGTCCCCCCCGTTGTTCGCCTTCTGTTCCCCCTGCTGATCGGCAGCTACTTTGCGGTTGCCAGCCCTGGCTGGTTTTGCCCTCGTGGCACATGTCCCCACAGGCGGTAGGATACAAGGCCGCGCGGCCCGCATCTGTCCTTCCTCCCCGGCTTCGTTCTTCCCTTTGCCTTGCGATGCCCGCAGCAGCCAGAAGGAACAGTAGACAAGCGCGTCCCACTACTCGCGGAGTGACGACTCGCAAATGGCCTGGATCCGCCGCGGGGGATTTACGATCCATGACATATAGGAAGCCATGCGAGTTCGCGAGTAGAGGAACGCGCTCGGTGAAAGGGGGTATAAGAAACTGCCTGCTGCTGCCAGGCAGACATGTGGGATCGCAGCGTGCCCGGCGAGGGCCGCAGACCTGCCCTTGGCGACGCGAGGACACGAAGCTCGCCGTGCTGATGGCCAAGCGCCGGTCGCAGAGGCGGCCCCGCCACCCTGCCTGGCGGCAACAACAAGGCGAGCCACATCGCCAGGGGCCGAAAAGGGAGCGGAGCTGGCGCGAAATCGGAGGGCCGTGCCGTCGAGAGAGCCAGCGGTGGACTGTAAACCGCGACGAGCGCGGAGGCAGGCGTGCGCCCACATCTGGCGCGGCAAACCTTCCAGTGACTTCCAAGTCGGCACCGCCGCACAGCGGCACCAAGCAACGCTTACAGGCTAGCACCGCTGAGAGACCCCACGCTCGGCCCGCCAACCGCGCGCATATCCGCCCTGGCACGTTGGGGCGTGGTAGAATGCCGAGTGCTGCCTGGCAGGAATTATGTCACTCGTCAAGGCCCCCCCCCTCTTCCAGCACCTCGGGCTGCGTGCAGGCAGCCACCAAGGCCGCCAAGATGGCCAGACACTGCCAAGATGGCTGCTCCCAGGAGACGCCGAGCACATCCGAGAAGTCCACACAAAAAAAAACCCAAACACCACCCAAGACGCTTTCCAAGAAGCCCTCGAAAGGCAAAGAGCATGAATGGTCATATCGTCTCCGAGCGTGTCTCATGTTCCACGCTCTTCGGTCCAAGATCGGCCGACGTTCGACCTTCGAAAACCCAGAAGGGGCCACTGAAAATCTCAAGAGCGCCCCTAAACAGTCCAGCCCCAAGAAAGCACCAAGCTGGTCGAAGAGGGCCTCTGGAAGGACCCAGGACTGACTACCCAAGACGGCCCAAGATGGACCCAAGACGGCCCCAAGAGACCTCACAGACGGCCAAGAGAACCCGAGACGGCCAAGAGGGTCCAAGACGGCCCAAGAGAGCACGCACCAAGACAGTCCAAGAGGGCCCCGAACAGGCCCAGAAGGACCCCAAGGGCCCCCAAGGCCTTCCCACGAGAGCTCAAGACAGCCCCAAGATGTGCCTGAGAAGCTCCAGGAGGGCCCTACCAAGAGACTGGCACGAGAGGTGTCACATGGGACTATCTTTGGCGTTTCGCCCAAGAGTGCTGAACTGATACGGTGGCGGGACTTGCCGCAGGCACCTGGATATGTTTGTTTGATTCCCTCCACCTGCCCCCTTCAGTCGCAAACTTCGTCGTCGGTTCCATGGCCCACCACGCGGCTCGCCCTCGGCCGTGGCCATCGCACCACGATGGCGGCACACCGAGGGCCGACGGGCGAACATGCGCAGCACAGCAGCGCTACCCAACGGCGGAAGCGGCGGCGGCTGCAGCGGCAGCAGGAGGAGGAGCAGGATGAAGAGGAGCAGGAGGAGGAAGGAACAGGGAGGAAACAGGAAGAAGATGGAAGGGGAACGGGGAGGAGGAGGAGGAGGAGAAGGAGGAGGAGGAGGCGGAGGAGGAGGCGGAGGAGGAGGAGGAGGCGGAGGAGGAGGCGGAGGAGGAGGAGGAGGCGGAGGAGGCGGAGGAGGAGGCGGCGACAGCTGCGTGCACGGGGCCGCCGAGGGCGGACTACGGCGACGGCCGGGGCGGCAGCAGAGGCGGCGGCAGCCGAGGCGCACGGGGGTCGCCGGCGTCCAGCTCGCTGGCGAGGAGGGGCCGCACGCGCACGACGGCACGTATGCAGTCGGAGCCATCGCGCGGCATGGCGCAGCATGCCTGACCAGAGCCGCTCCGCTGCGGCCCGCCTGCCCTCCTCTCTCGGGGGGGGGGGCCAGAGGCGCACAGACAAGCAGGCACGAGCCCGAGGACTCCCCACACGTTCCCAGATGTCGAGGAGGGGCTTCGTCTGACCCCCCCCCCCACTTCCCAGGTGTTCCTCTATTTTTCCGGAGGGTCGACGAGTCACTGTGTCTGTGCGCTCTTTCCCCTCCTGATCTCTGCAGGTGCTGCAGCGGTGCCCCGCACACGCACGCGCGGGCGGCCCGAGCACTGCACGACAGCCGAGGCGCGCCCGAGAGAGAGAGAGAGAGCCCCCCACCGCAGGGAACTCGGACCTGAAGGCCGCCGACCTCTCTCCGGCCAGGCTGTGGGCCTCGTGCTTCCCGGCTGTCACGCGGGCGACGATCCAGAACGGGCCTCGCGCACGCTGACACGGCGACCTCGCGCGGTGGCTTGCGCGGGCCGCCGGCGCAGCCCGCCACCCTGGAGACGAGGGCGCTCACACGCGACCTTACGCGGGCAGCTTAGTTTGCGCGCCCTTGTCGGCGCAGACGAACCCTTTTTCCCAACCATCCTGTGGTGTTGGGTCCTCGTTTTGACGAGACAGTGCCCCGCGTCTCTCCTTCCTTCCTCCTCCCCCTCCTCCCCCTCCTCCCTCCTCCCCCTCCTCCCCCTCCTCCCTCCTCCCCCTTCTTGCCTCTGCTCTCGGCACACCTCTCACACGTTTCGCAACCCCACAGGGAGCTCCACCAAAGGCCCCAGTGGGGGGGGGTCGCATGCGGTTCCCCCGCCCAGGGCAGCGCTTCGTGGCCCCATAGGGAGCTCCGCCGATGGCCCCAATGGGGGGGGTCGCATACGGTTTCCCCACCCAGGGCAGCGCTTCGTGGCCCCATAGGAAGCTCCGCCAATGGCCCCAGTGGGGGGGGTCGCATGCGGTTCCCCCGCCCAGGGCAGCGCTTCGTGGCCCCATAAGGAGCTCCGCCGATGGCCCCAATGGAGGGGGGGTCGCATGCGGTTCCCCCACCCAAAGCAGCGCTTCATGTCCCCATAGGGAGCTCCGCCGATGGCCCCAGCGGGGGGGAGGGGTCGCATGCGGTTCCCCCACCCAGGGCACCGCTTCGTGGCCCCATCGGGAGGTCCGCCGATGGCCCCAGTGGGGGGGGTCGCATGCGGTTCCCCCGCCCAGGGCAGCGTTTCGCGGCCCCATAGGGAGGGGGGGGTCGCATGCGGTTCCCCCACCCAAGGCAGCGCTTCATGTCCCCATAGGGAACTCCGCCGATGGCCCCAGTGGGGGAGGTCGCATGCGGTTCCCACACCCAGGACAACGTTTCGCGTGCCCACAGGGAGCTTCGCCGATGGCCCCAGTGGGGGTGTTCGCATGCGGTTCTCCCACCCAGGGCAGCGCTTCGTACCCCGCCGAACGCCCCAGTGGGGGGGGGTCGCATGCGGTTCCCCCACCCAATGCAGCGCTTCGTGGCCCCATAGAGAACTCCGCCGATGGCCCCAGTGTGCGGTTCCCCCACCCAGGGCAGCGCTTCGTGTCCCCATGGGGAGCTCCACCGATGGCCCCAGTGGGGGTGTTCGCATGCGGTTCCCCACCCAGGGCAGCGCTTCGTGGCCCCGTTGGGAGCTCCACCGAAGGCCCCAGTGGGAGTGTGTGCATGCGGTTCTCCCACCCAGGGCAGCGCTTCGTGGCCCCATAGAGAGCTCCGCCGATGGCCCCAGTGGGGCGGGGTCGCATGCGGTTCCCCCACCCAGGGCAGCGTTTCGTGGCCCGATAAGGGGCTCCACCGAAGGCCCCAGTGGGGGTGTTCGCATGCGGTCCCCCCACCCAGGGCAGCGCTTCGTGGCCCCATAGGGAGCTCCACCGAAGGCCCCAGTGTGGGTGCTCGCATGCGGTTCCCCCACCCAGGGCAGCGCTTCGCGGCCCCATTGGGAGCTCCGCCGATGTCCCCCGTGGAGGGTGTTCGCATGCGGTTCCCCCACCCAGGTCAACGCTTCGTGGCCCCATAGGGAGCTCCGCCGATGGCCCCAGTGAGGGGTGTTCGCATGCGGTTCCCCCACCCAGGACAGCGTTTCGTGTCCCCATAGGGAGCTCCACCGATGGCCCAAGTGAGGGTGGTCGCATGCGGTTCTCCCACCCAGGGCAGCGCTTCGCGGCCCCATAGGGAGCTCCGCCGATGGCCCCAGTGAGGGTGTTCGCATGCGGTTCCCCCACCCAGGGCAGCGCTTCGTGGCCCCGTTGGGAGCTCCACCGAAGGCCCCAGTGGGAGTGTTTGCATGCGGTCCCCCCACCCAGGGCAGCGCTTCGTGGCCCATAGGGAGCTCCGCCGATGGCCCCAGTGGGGCAGGGTCGCATGCGGTTCCCCCACCCAGGGCAGCGTTTCGTGGCCCCATTGGGAGCCCCACCGAAGGCCCCAGTGGGGGTGTTCGCATGCGGCTCCCCCACCCAGGGCAGCGCTTCGTGGCCCCATAGGGAGCTCCGCCGATGGCCCCAGTGGGGGTGCTCGCATGCGGTTCTCCCACCCAGGGCAGCGCTTCGTGGCCCCATAGTGAGCTCCGCCGATGGCCCCAGTGGGGGGGGTCGCATGCGGTTCCCCCACCCAGGGCAGCGTTTCGTGGCCCCATAGGGAGCTCCACCGATGTCCCCAGTGGAGGGGGGGCGCATGCGGTTCCCCCACCCAGGGCAGCGCTTCGTGGCCCCATAGGGAGCTCCACCGAAGGCCCCAGTGGAGGGGTGTTCGCACGCGGTTCCCCCACCCAGGGCAGCGCTTCGTGTCCCCATAGGGAGCTCCACCGAAGGCCCCAGTGGGGGTGTTTCGCATGCGGTTCCACCACGGGCAGCGCTTCGTGGCCACATAGGGAGCTCCACCGAAGGCCCCAGTAGGGGTGTTCGCATGCGGTTCCCCCACCCAGGGCAGCGCTTCGTGGCCCCATAAGGAGCTCCACCGAAGGCCCCAGTGGGGGGGGGGGCGCATGCGTCTCCCCCACCCAGGACAGCGTTTCGTAGTCCCATAGGGAGAGCCACCGAAGTCCCAGTGGCACAGTTCGCATGCGCCTCCCCCACCCTGGACAACGTTTCTTGGCCCATAGAGAGTACCACCGAATGCGATACTCACAACGACGGTATTCACAATTGCATATGGTTGGGTTCTTCGCCAGGCAAATGTTTGACGTCTCTCACATGCAAGCTCGGGGTACACTGCCATTCAAAGCCCTCTCAGCGAACGGAGCAAAGACACTTGGGGCACCTCGACAGAACGCCAGCGCCTTCTTGCCATGAGCCACGAATGTACAGAATGACTCGTAGAATCCCCCAGAAGGGAGCCCATTGCGAAATCCCCGCGCTCGAAGTCGGAACACCCCGCAACCACCCCACCGACGTGCAGAAATCGCAGTAGTGCTGGGCCAGGGGGGAACCTCAAGTGCAGGCTGGTCTCTCCCCCTCCTCCCCCTCCCCACCCCCCTCGCCTCGGCACACTGCCACGTGGCTCCCAGACCTGCTGCCCCCGAGGGGCCCCCAGGGCGGCCGACGGGGCCTCCCTGCCCTCCGAGGGCACGGCCGGCAGCGCGTCCCTGCACTCCGACGTTCGGGCGTCCGAGTGCGAGGCGGGGGCTCCTCCATATCCACCGCCTGGGAACCAACGTCCTGGTGCCCCAGCGGGCGGCGGATCTGGATGCACTTCGACCCCCGGGGGTCCGAAGAGGTCCACCTCCACCGCCCGCCGAGCCCCCGCAGACCGGCCCTCCAGGCGGTGGAGAGGGGTGAATATTCCCGCCTCGGGCCGAGTGCCTGCGCGCAGCGCGCGCCTGCCCACGGTGCTTCCGACGGGAGCGCGCCGCGGTGCCCCCACGCGGGGCCACTAGGGGGCCACGTGCGAACCCTACCCCTGCCCCCCACGATTTCTGAGGGGGAGGGCGGAGCTCGCTCCGCTCGGGAGCTCCCGAAGGGAGTGAACCCCGCCCTCCCCCTCAGAAATCGTGGGGGGTAGGGGTAGGGTTCGCATGTGGCCCCCTAACCGAGGCCCTGCCAGTGCACGGCGCGGGCGCGCGGCGCAGCGTCGGAAGGAAGGGCGGGAGAGCCGCTCCCAAGGTCGGGGGGGGAGGGGCCTTTCCTCCTATGCCACGGCGTGCCCAGCCTGTCTCTGCCCGACCCTCCAGCCCCTGAAGGGGGAGGAGGGGGAGAGGAGGAGGAGGAGGAGGAGGAGGAGGAGGAGGAGGCGGAGGAGGAGGAGGAGGAGGAGGAGGAGGAGGGTTCGCATGTGGCCCCCTGGCCACGCTCGCGGACCCGTGCCCCGGCAGCGCCACCCGCCTCGCCCGCGCCGAGGCCCGCACCCGGCAGCGCAGAGCGAGGGCGCGCGCCTCGCCGCCCCTCGGGAGGCAGCAAGAGGCCGAGGAGGGGCTCGCTCGGCGCGCGGAGGGGTGCTCGGAGCGAGAGAGGCGCGCGGCGAGCGCCGGGAGGGGGCGGGGAGGATTACCAGCCTCGAACGTATCCCTATCCCTAAGATCGACACGCCAAAAGGCGATGACAGTCTCAGGGATTCGTCTTCAAAAAATAAGGGAATCCCTAAGATTGGCATCGTGATGAGGAGATGCCCAGCATAGGGACAGGGATATGTTCCAGGCTGGTAAGAGGAGGAGAGCGGCGAGGAGAGGCCGGGAGGGGAGGGCGGTGCGGAGGGAGCGGAAACGGTGGGAGGAGGACGCTGGGGAGGAAGGGAGGGAGGGAGGGAGGGAGGGTGGGAGAGAGAGAGAGAGGGAGGGAGAGGGAGAGGGGCTAGCGAGAGAGACGGATGACAGTGGTGGGAGTCATCAGGGGGGGCGCCGGCTCTACACCGGCACCCAGCCTGGAGAGAGGCCGGTCCTGCACTCCGCACCGGCCTGGCCAGAATCCCGCCCCAGCCCTCTGGGCGAGGGTGGTTTCACGAGTTGTTCGCCTGCTCTCTGCCCAGAATACCCTCCTTCCCCTGCTCGGGGGGGGTGGT